TTTTAAATTATTTTAATAAACTTAACTATTTCATTAATTATAAAAAATTTAATATAATTAAATATATATCAATAAATAAAATTTTTTTAATTAAAGAGTTATAAATATTAGATTAATAAAAAAATTGACATGAATAATCTACATAAATAGAATTTTCAATTTGAGGATTAATTTTTAAAAATATTAATTAAAAATTAAGTTTTTAAACAAGTCCTCTTTAATAAATATATACATATATGTGTATATCTTTTATCATTTTTATTAAAGATAATAATTTTTTAATCTAAAAAATCATAACAAATTTTAACTATTGAAAATATAAAAATGAATTGTTAAAATTTTGTACAAATTTGATATATAAAATTTATATGTAAATGGATCCTCTCAACTTTTAATTGTTGAGATTTATTCATATTTATTAAAAATAATTATTTTTTTCACTTAAAAAGTCATGAAAAATCTAAATTATTAAAAGTAAAAAGATGAATGATTGATATTTTGTATAAATGTGATAGGTAAAATTTGTGTGTAAGTGGATCCCCTCATATATATAATCTCATTTAAATAAGGACAATCTAATTTAATTGTCCACCTTTTGTTTTGATGAGATATTTAATGTTAATATTTCAATTTTACCCTATTAGGAGATAGAAATTTAAAAGGATAGAAATATAGTTAGAACTTTTTTTTCTTAATCATAAGTAATAATGAAAAAAATAAAAAGATTTGTTTTAATTGTTGTAATAAATGAATTTTCTCTTAATCTCCTTTCGGATTCATTTTATGGAGATTTCTCCTTTTATGCTCATTAAGCAAGAATCAAAATCAGCTCCCTTAATTTGATTAAATGCTATTTTCGTACTCAATCTTTCCTTCTTTTTCTTTATATAAACCCTCTTCTGTTATTCCTTCTCCACACCTCCCAAAACTCTTCTGCTCACTATACTCTATTTTTCTGCCCTGTTTTTTTCTTTTCCCTTGAGGTGGTGCAAGCAACCTCGATTTCATCTGCAAAATTGGTCGTTGACGAAGTGAAGGAGAAGATTGGTATATGACGGCTGCTGTGAGCGTGGGAAGAAAGAAGTGAGAGCAATTTAGAAGGAATTAGGAACGATTAAATCCTTCCTAATTTGCTTTCTTTTTTTTTTAAAAAAAAAAGCCATGTAAGCAAAGAACGTGGCAAGCCACGTCATTCAATCTTGTATTTGACCTAAGTCATTTGACTCAAATATCATTACTTTTTTTTTTTTTATTATTGATTATATAATAAGAGGTATATCTCTTCTTTTTTTAACTCACCTCAACTTATAAACCATACAATTCAAATTCAATTAAGATCTTTTATTCTTATTAAAAAAAATTACATTAAATTATTTAAGTTGTTAGTTAAAATTTAATATCTAGAGTTTACCGTATAACGTTTATTATTTTAGGGTTATGAGTTCAATTAAAAGTCAATTGAGACTAAAAAAATAAAAATAACAACTAGTAAATATAAATAAGAAATCAACTTTCAAGAACAATTTTTCAAGGTTAGGTTCATTTTCTTTGCCATAAAGGTACCACAAAAGAGACCATGTAGCAGCTTCGTAAAGCAAGAGAAGAGCCTTTTGCCTCATCAATTTGTCCTCTGCATACCGATGTGTTATTTTTTATTCATATCTGCACAAGCAACATAAAATCATATGGTCAAATAGCCGCCCAACACGTTAATTTTACCTATTTAACCCAGCAAACTACAAAAAGAGTACATCCTCCTATATTTGCGTTCTTTCTCTGATGTTTGCACATCTAGAGACAATACTACATGCAAGCAGATCCTTAATGTTTGATAATTTTCAGAAACTTGAATTCACAAATACTATACAAATTGCAAAATCACTATGCTTCTAGTAGCATTACTTTACTGTTACTTAGACGTCCATAACCTACAGTATATAACATAAAGAAAAAAAGGTGTCACCATGTAACATCTAAGACAGATCATTTCAATAAAATATACCATGTACAAAATACTACAATTCTCAAATACTGTACACAATGACTGTGAAGGACATATTTTTATGAAAATTGTAACTGTAACCATATCTGAATAATATTACATGTCAACATATGTCAGTCTGCATTTCGCGAGATACTAATGCCAATCCATGCATATTCTCTATAGCATAAGACACACCTCATTGACTCTGAAATGTCACAGCATGATCTCTCAAATCTTAAAATCAGATCAGGAATAGGCATTAAGCCTGCTAAAAGAAAAGGTATAATGAGATAGAATAACTTGAACTGCACATCAAGAAGATTACAAGGAAAAGAAATATAATTTTAAGGAAAAGAAATATAATTTTAAGAAGAACAGTGATTGATACACACTTCAGTTCAATACATTGCATGATACATTCATTAAAAAATTATTATTTTTTGTCTAAAATTAAAAATAAACAAATTTAATGATATAATCATGCACACAGAATAAATGAACTGGTTAAATTAATTATATTTATATCATATTGTTAATCACTAAACTAGAATGTGTCAGAAAATATATTGAATTGAAAGATATACCAATCATTTTCCTTTTAAAAAACCCAACCTTAGTTGCAATTTAATACAACTTTTCTTTTAAGCTAATTGTTCAATGCCCATGCTAGCCGGCCACTTAAATCAAAAGACTGATATTTAGACTCCAGTTGGATCTTACAAACATAACTGAGAAAGTGATTAATATATATTGCATATTAAACAGACATCCCTGGTATTATCCCCAGAAACACTGGTTTGAAATTTTTGTCTGATTGACAATAAGCATATAAGATTTCCATTTTCTTTTTCACTTATTGGTGCATGGAGATGTGCTTCATGCTAAATCAACAATTAAAGATTTTGG